CTTTCTCTTCTGTATTTGACTCTTCGATTTTTTCTTTTTCTTCCATCGGTAGATGTTCAGATTTCCCATCATCTTGTACAGAAACTTTCGGACACCTCGATTCTCCTTCTAACTGTTGCAATGAGGTGCCTTGTAAATCTGCTTTAGATTCTTCCGCGAGAAATTCTGTGTCCGTCAAGACGTGCGGAACTACTTCTCCAGCTTCAAATTTGTGTGAATTAAGTTCTGTTTTTCCATTTGCAGACACGTCCAGCTTCCTCGCACAGTCCTCAGACGTTTCTCCAGCGTTGTCTGCAAGCTCATGTACTCCCTGCGTCTGTCTCTGCCAAGCTTCTAAATTCTCCGTCCTCCTTCTAACTTCAGCGATTTCTAGACGACATTCTTCGACGAGACATGTCAGCTTCTCTGTTATTTCTTCCAATACATTTACCCGTGATTTAAAATCGACAAGGGCATCCTCTGCCATTCTGAAACCAACGGTAGATTAAAATAATGAAACGCAAAGCTTACGCGGCAAATAATCAAGAACTACGTTTTTCATCGATAAAATGTATTTGTTAAGTTTGTATGATTTATGTGTTTTAATCACGATGTTTTCTGACGAAAGAATACCTTAAAAACATGTTTTATTAATTTCATGAGCATATTTTTTAAATCTGAGAGAAATGCGTTTTTTGTGATAAATCATCTTAATATCTTTTCGGTAGAATACATTTTATTAGTTCAAACACAAACAAAATTAAAATAACTCCTATATGTGGTAAACTTCTACGATGTGCTACTGAGACGATATTACGTTCTATCCAGAAGTAAGAACAAGAGTAAAATTGTTGTCATAAACCTATTTTTTTTACAATTAATGTTTTCTGGGTTTTGACGCCATGCACTCTTGCACGTTGTTATGTCGAATCAGGCTAACATAAATTATTACAAAATGTGAATCAGGGTAATCTCAGAACAAAGCAATTGTCTCCAGTTCCTGCACTGAAATTCGAATAGAATAACTGACAGAGATCACAAAAACTATATCAGGACAGCAAGACGTCGGCCTGAACACGAACCAAGTACACACAATATCTAAAACTAAATGTTGTCTGCAAGCCATTCACATATGCTCAGATTAATTTGTGGCTAATGAGAGGATATGCCAAATACAATCTGAATCCACAAAGCAGTTCCTGTGATGAAACAAGAGGACAAACTAAGGAACCCATAAACAAAATCTTTGCGCCCATGTTAAAATGTAAAGCCTGTAATCCATTTAAAATATACAGCACATGTATCTTGAACGATTCCGAACCGATGCCCCTCGGAAGCGACATCCCTTACGCGCCATATATAATCTAAGATACAAGCCGCCACTGCACCACGAGATAGCCAATTTAATCTCTGAGCAAGTCAACATATCGTACCTCAGGAAGCAATCTCCCTTTTGCATGTGTGGACCAATAAGCATGTCGCCAACAATTCCTGCCCAAACGTTAATTGAAAATCTTCGCTGGAAGCTGGATTCAGTTTGACATAAATTCATTTATTGGAACTGATTTTTGGCTATTATTTCGAAAGTGAAACATTTCATAGGAACATTTTTTCTTATTTTTGATCCTGGAACACGCACACGAAGTTTGTAAACATACTTCTGACTCATCCTGTATATATATATATATATAAAGCTCAAATTTGTGATGAAAGTTATGCTACGTATTGAAACTTCTCTTTCAAATACGCTAATAGACCATTTGTATGTGTATTTTGCCTGAATACGACCTAGAATTTTTTCAATTTCTTATCAATGTTGTGACCGCGCGTTCTGGGTTCGAGTCCCGGTGAAGCGCAAATAAAAATAAATTGGGAACAAGTAATAAAGATTTACGCGTTTCACTTGTTAGGCAAGTGCGTCCTTTTCAGGCCAGGGGTCAGTTTATTGGTAGGTGCTCTGCATTCAGTGCAGAAGGTTCACTGACACTTAAAAAAGAAAAGAAAAGAAAGTTGCACAAGCAACGACGGTAAAGGAAAGAATTATGGCACCGTGTGACCCCGAAACTTCTTGCATGGGGCACCCGCCGGCTAAAGGTTTTTTTTTAATGGTCCACGTGGGCTAGGGCATCATTACTGCCCAAATACATAAAATTTTTGTGAAAGTTAAGGGGGGAAGTCCTATAACTAAAGGACAGGAAAGTTTTCTTGGAGGACTCTTTTCTGGAATTCAGAGGAAGCAACATCCTAAATTGTTTTGTAGCTCGATTCGGCCAGTGAACGTTAATTGTAAAAGAAATAAATTGTGCTTGTGAAACTACGAATTTGAATCTCAAGAACATTATCGAAACCTTCCTCGCTGGCATTCAGCTTATACCCCTCCATGTAATATTCCCTGAGAAAAGTTCCATGCCTACATGAGCAGAAATCCCGAATTACCTCACATACAACAAAGATCGACAAGACTGCAACCGAGCCGGGCAACTCCAACAGCAGTACAGGAGTGGGACGGTTACAATGTTTTGATTCACGTGGAAATTGGCTTCTTTTTGTGGTTATTAACTTTAGTTAAGTATACTCCTACCAGCGCTGATTTCTTTTAACCGTTTCGGTAATAATGAATTCTGCCTACAGTTCCACACTGCGGTGTGGCGTATGCATTGAATGGGTGCAAATTACAGCCACATTATATTTCTGTCTTGCCTTGGCCAACGGGAGGTCACTTGCTGTGTGCCGACAAATTTGACATTGCATGTCTTCTTCCTGACCTCTTTACTCATTTTAAATAGCGACGAGCGATGGCCTCTCGTCGCTATTTATTTATTTCCTTGCTGCATTCGACTGACTCGTTCTGTTATCTGCATTTCCTAACGTAATGGGTATCTGGGAAAATTCTTCACACTTGTTCTCGCAAATAGAAACGTCAAATTTCACAGTTCAGAAATTGTTGTTGGTTTCCTCAGGAAATTAGATCAGTTTGTAAGCGGCATTACTTTGTGGGCGATTTTCAACATCTGTATAGTAAATTGTGTTCAAAAGTCTCTTTTATAGGACGGTTTGAGGGCCTGAATAGAACCATGCATCTTCCATTCAGTTTACGTGCGGAACTTGACATCATATGATAACGAAACTGGGTTACTGTAACATTTACATGCAAATGCCTTTCCCCACTTGCTCTAGTCTCGTACACAAGGAAGAGATTCCTTTACAAAAAGTAATAGAAATTTACCAACAGGAGCTGCTACGAACATTCAAGGTGCACTTGAGTCTTGAAGCTACATTAATCCAAGCCACCTAGTACAGTCTGAGATAACAGTCTCCTGTGATGTTGTGTCGTCCAATTTCGTAGAAACGTACTGACGTTTCTGAAATGTTTGTTACCTCCGTCATTACGGCAATGGTGGAAGCAGTGATCACCTCTGAAACGCCTGTCAATTCTGCGAGACTACGAGAATAGCTTACACCTCAGCCTAAACTTAAGTTGAGGTGTTGCACTGAAGTCAATAATTTACCGCATTGGAAAACAAAGAAAAATTATGGGTTCCTGGAAAACGCATGGCATCCTAACATACGTAAGCCCATTTCGTCCAGAAATATCCGGTGCTGATTCATCAAACTACGGTACAACGTTCTGTAGTACTGTTTTTAAAATCTTTTGAATAATAGTAGTAATTATATGTACCACATAATTTTATGTATAGTTATAAGGTGCTTCGCTTGAAGCGTCTCAATAGTGGATTTCGAATGACAGAACAGAGTAGTGGTAACTATATGAACCACATGACTTGACGTACAATTATACCGTACTTGGCTTTAACTGCTTTGAAAATGAATTTCATCAAACAGAACAGAGTAGTGAACAATTTCTCTCTGACATTAACGGACAGATATTTGTAACGGAGATACTGTGCAGTTTATTGGATGTAGAAATCAGCTGTTTGAATATTGCCTGGATGAACTTTGCGAAACTGAAGAAATGCTCCTTTTCTTAACAAGACATAATTAAAACTCAAATACTCGACAACTTTTATAAAAAAGAAACAATATCGTTCCTGCCATTTTAATCTCCATATCTCGCGCACAGTCATGATGTTAATATTGCATTTCTTCCCCCTGAATTAAAAGATGGATTTATTTTACGTATCTGAACACTCACAAAGTGTATCACACTCGCGTCGGCAGGTTAGGTTTTCGTGTGTATAATGTGAGCCGTTGAAACATCTGAGATATTTTATACGTATGATGAAAATTAATTTGTTCTAATCAAGGCGGCTGGCCAACTACCATCTTTTCAGGAAGGTCTCTGCCCCTGTAATTTTGGTCTTGTACCCGGCCGACTTTACAATCCAGTTCGTTTCCTCAGGAAATAAGACATGGGCGTAGTTTCGCCGTCTTTCTCGTATCTCGGAAATTTCGAGGAGCGTAGAAGTCAACTAAAATAATGAAACAATTTTCTTACGCCAAACGAGAATCCTCGTCAGTAAGGAATTCCAATTCCCTTACCAATCCTAACAGTAATTAGCTTTTATCTTGTGTCAGATCTCGTGTAGTCTCTGCCAAAAAAAATTCTGTATTTTGATGGTGCTGATAGCAAGAAGAGGAAATAGAGAAACAGTTCTCCTGGAATGGAATTTTAAACGCGCTTTCACTACGCGGAAAGTATAAGGATAATTAAGAAAAGCTACTACCGTTTATATATTTAAGTATGCCCATCGGTATCATTTTACTTAGATGGGAGCTTCTGTTCAACCAGCACAAACTCCGCGGTGTCTGCAAGACAAACGTGAGCATTTCATGAACCATTACTCTGATGTGGAAAAAGTTTCCTATCTTGTGTATAACATCTTCCTATTCTTATTCTTCTTTTTGTAGCGTTATAACCCTATGTGGGTCTTAGATTGTTCGACGAGTTTCTTTCCATTCTGTCCTATCATTCACAATTCTTCTCCATCCCCTTACTCCCATCGTCCTCACATCCTCCTCCACGTCGTCTATCCATC